GGGGGGTAATCGGTGGACGTCACCTCGTTTACTTTGCGGACACCATTCGGCCAGTGCCCCAACAGGGCTCAGCCGAGCTTAGACTAGAGGAAATTGGCAGTCAAGGTAGCAGCACTTTACGACACCTGCATGGTGGCGTGGCACAGATGTTGGAGACGTTGATTATCACACTACTAGACAAGCTCATGCGTGGACTCCCAGTATTGCCTTTGACTCAAAGATTGCATCCCAGCTTGGAAACTGCTGCTAGGAGAAAGCATGGGGCTGCCTTGTAGGGAGCTTGCCTTAGGAATCTCGACTCTCAAGCTGCCTGAATCCATTCATGAACTCATCGATGGTGATGGTGCCACCTGACCGCACGACAAAGGTCGTTCGTGACTGGTCGACAGGCTGATCATGCTGTCGAAAACTCTACAGATGCATACAAGCTGCCGAAGAACACTCTTCTGCTCCCCTCTACGCATCTGAAGAATCTATAGACCCGAACTTGTTTGCTTAGGATACAGAGAGAGAACATGCGAGTGCCTGGACATTCACGGTTCCATGTAGGGCCTTGGAGTTTTCAGAATCACCCCCTTTGTTCAGAGACATTCGAACAGGAAACTCGTTGAAGGAGCAAGCATACCCCCTAAGGTTCTCAAAATTCTCTTCGGAGCCTTGAAAGTTGTCATTACATCACCTTGAGCGCAGAGGCGGTGAGCACTGGAGAATATACTCCGCCGCCTCTCCTGATGCGCAATTCCCAGCAGAATCCATTTCTCTTTCCCGTAATTTCCTGTACAGCCCCTCTAAGACCCATCTTCTTGGCGGTCATTGATCCCGCCAAACACCTTCCCAGGGAGGATTCTTGGGGCTCTTGAGGATACGTACAAAGAATCTCATAGGATACTTACTTGTTCTAGCTACATAGCGGCTGCAGGATGAAGAGCCCGCATCATACCGAGACTGCTAGGCGCGCCTTTGTCATGGTCGATCCAGTCGAAGAGATCCATGAGATCCTGGACCTGGTTCAAAGACTAACGCTTTAAGGGTTTGCTCTGGGGGTTGCGGATTCAGGAACACAAATTAAATCACCATATAATATGGATACAAAGCGAATAAGAGGATTTGCTTCTTAGGGCAATCTGGTTTAAGCCCCTTAACAGCAATCGAGTCCTCAGAGGTCCATGGTTATCTGAATTAGAAAACGGTTATGATCACATGAGGGGACTTTGGGAGCTTGTTACTGGGTTAGGCGTACATTTAAAAGGTAGGCTATAAATACCTACGGACATCTGAGTGGGGTCTAGGATGGGCGTGGGGGAAGGAATGTAGATGCTATTGTATGGGGATATGTGGGGGTCATATGGGACCAGTTAGAGAGTGACGAAATCGGAGGCCCTTCGGGGCCTCAACATTATACAGGGATTGTAAGGAGCTATGCCGGGTCCCTCCTAGCATGGATGCTCTGGTCACCGTATTCTCTTGGAACACAAGCGGAATTATGGTTTGGGCATGGATGCTCTGGTCACCGTATTCTCTTGGAACACGAACGGAATTATGGTTTGGGCATGGATGCTCTGGTCACCGTCTTCTCTTGGAACACGAACGGAATTATGGTTTGGGCATGGGTGCCCTGTTACCGTATGCTCTGGGAACACGAACGGAATTATGGTTTGGGCATGGATGCTCTGGTCACCGTATGCTCTGGGAACACGATCGCTAGTATGGTTTGGGTATGGATGCGCTCGTGATCGTATGCATGAGATCATGGTTCGAACATTCCCCAAACCTCAAAGTACACAGGCCCAGCATTTGTTCACTCGCGGCTAAAATGGCTGCCTGGAGCACTCCGCAAATGATTTCCGAACTTTCAAAGCCACTAAAAAGCACTGAAACACACATTTTTTTGTCATCAACCTGTTTCCTTTAAGGGGCAACTTTGAGCAACTCCCAGTTAAAAATAATGCATCCGGAAATCGAAGTCGGAAGTACGGACTGTGTTGATTGGAAGGTCACATGCCGTACGACCCATTTGACAGAGTGAGGTCTGGTGAGTATCCTCACAACCTTGGGACGAGAGTTGAGAACTGTGAGGCATTTTGATCGAGGAAAGGAAGATTCAGGGGCTTTCTGTCTTGCAGTGCTTGACCTTCTAATTACAAACCATAGGGAGATTCAGGCAAAAAATGCTTGGAGAACCAAGTCTTCAGTCAACCTTCCTGCCCACTACCCTAACTTCTGCTCTGCCACCGTTTGGAAGGATCTCTACCCTGCACGGTGCCTAGTGGGGTACTACGAGGCCCTGCAATCTCAATCGATCTTTTGCTGTGTTAGCCAACATCGACTCTCTATATACTTGAATCCTTACTGTAGGGCCTCCAAAAACAGGGGCGCCCGACTTTGGAACCCCCCGAATTGTTCTTCCTTGTGACTCGACTTGCAGGCCTTCATGCGCGTGTTCTTCGTGATTTTCTTGACCAGCTCTGGCGACTTCAGCATGCCTGTTTACATTTAGCTTGGAGGATAAAATGTCCTGTAGATTGTCATCCTTCTTGGGTTTAGGAAGTAGGCCTGCCACATGTTGTATGTGGGACCTCTCTTTGAAGGCATGGTGTCATGGAATAGTGTTCAAAGCATAAGATAATGATGGCGAGTTGCTGGAGTTCCATCCAAATATGGTAGGATCTTAATTTATGGTTCCCCCACATTGGATACCATAAAATCATTAAGCCCCATACACAGTCACCAAAAGCCTACCGTGAAATCCTACCTGAAATAAGTGCACCATGCTGTAAATCAAACATCGATATGTTTATCAGAAAGTTCCTTACCTGTTTCGAGGTGTGTGTCAATCGGCTTAAACGATTCAAGTAGTGCGGGCCCCTCCCAGACTTCACAGGAAACGCGCTCGCCAATTGCGAGCTTCTTTGAGTAGCTGTGGTCTCATGAATTTTGCTCCAAATAATATGTTCTTTTCGCAGGTTTTTCAAAAAGAATACTCTTTTGCATTTTCGATCTGCCCTTGAACACTAACTTTGCAAAATGACCAAACTCAATGCTGTAGGGGTTGACTCAATTTGCATTCGGCGTCTTCCAATCTCAGACAACCCCGGAAAACCACTCAGGCAATCTTGCGAAATGCTGGTGTATGTTTGGTAACTACAGGTGACGAAGGCCAAGATCTGGCCATGATTTGAAAGTTTTCCTACTTATTCCTACTTATCAGACAAGGAAGCCTCAACCCTCACCTTGCTGAAGTTGAGACATGAAAGTCTGTCGGTTTGAAAATTGTCAAGGGCTCCTGATTTGCATACCCAAAAAGGATTTGTGCGGGTATTGATGTCTAAATGGAGGCTTGCCATTCTGAGATTTACCTGTTGGGGGCTTGGCTTGGGGATGAATTGCTGAACGCCTGCATTCTTCAAGCCCAAGCCCATTGCAGGTGGCCTTCAAACTCCTGTCGTGAGACAATGCCGTTGTTGTCGACGTCTGCCTACCGGCTTCAAGATTTGTGTGTGCCTCGGACTGTTGGTTTTGCATTTGGCTGCCTGTCAATGAAGGACTTCTCATATACCGAAAAGCATACAGATCCTGTTTTTTTGGGGTTAAGGCTGCAGCATCAAGAGTTAACGCTTCTCGGCATTTTTGCAGTCTCTACTTACCGCCCTCACCATGAGAAAGTGCGCCTGCCTGCTGCCAACAAATAAATCTTGGGGACTCTGCATGAATAGATCTGTTTCAGGGCAGTTCTGAACTGCATTTGGCGTGCTTATAGTTGGGTCTATCCTTCCAACAACTCAACTTGTAGCTTTGGGGGCTATGACCTGTGTACATCATTCCAAATCGCACACCTCACGGAAGAGCTCCATGAGGACCTTGGTGATCATGGACTTCCTCTTCTCCTGCAGGCGAAGACAGAAGGATTGCGGAAGCGGCTGAGGGTTTGGGGTGTAGCTTCAGGCTTTCCCTCAAGCTAAGCTCATAGGCTCAGCGAAGGAATGAACAGGAACTGCCACGGGATCAAGGAAACTAGGGGAATCAGGTAGGGACTTTAAAGCAACCTCTGAATCCTTTGCTGCTCTCTTGGTCTTCTCAGTTGCTTTGGATACCAGCTGCGCTGCAGACCCCACTTGGTGGTCTGCGGGTACTCATTATCATCCAATTGCACTTGTAGTCATAACCTTATGATGGCCATGTTAAGGGACCTGGACAGCTGAAAGCTGGGTTATCGGTTGTAAGTGAAGCTACTGGGCACTGAATAGTAGACTCTCCATCCCCACATATCCGTCTAGGCCCCCTCCAACTGCTGTTGCATCTTCCATCTGGTTCTCCAATGCTAATGGAGAATGTTCATGTAAACCCTAGTGGACCAATAGGTAAAAACTACCTATGCGCCTTCAAGCATGCTAGCCGAACAAGTTCAACTGGGCTTTGGTTGCTCCACCGTGACTGTCGGCAGCAAGGCAAAGTACTCATACTGTAAAAACTTGGTTGTCGCGAAGGAGCTGCATTAATCCAGCTACTATATAATGGATACGTGGCAAACAATACGAACAATATGTTTTCCTTAATTTGGTAGCCTAGCTATAGCTCCTTCAAGTTAACCCAGACAAGGAGCCCAGAAGGCTTTCTGTCTTTTTGGGAAGTGCTGGGCAGTGAGCTGCCAATTCATTCGAGGCGGGCGCAAATACCAAGCTCTGCGTATAAGCCAAGACCGATAGGCATAATTTTCAGCATACTTCTACCGAACCAGATGCCCTAAAGGATCCTTAGCTGTGGCGGACTACGAGAAGAACTCACCTTGGTCATGGACCCAGCTGACATAGTCCATCAAGTTCCTTTTTTGAAAATCCTGAGCCCACCTCCCGTTGCTCGTCTTCTTTCTGCATCTGATCGCGAATGGCAATCATGTTCTCACTGACAACACCTGTCGTCGAGCTTACCGCGGCTACTTGCACTGTTGCCTCTACTCCTGGCATTTTGTGATTATGATGAAGGTGATGAACTAGATTGCTGTCATTGCAATTCTGATTTTTGTCAACCACACTGCTCGTGATCCTCTGACGCCAACAGCTCTTGCTATCATGCGTATTTGTAGGGTGATCCTTCGCAGCCTGCTGATGACTGCTGCCTTTGGCGTGCGAGCCAGAATTGCTGCCTATACCTCACACAAATGAGGTCCTTTTACTGCATGGACACTTCTTAAAGCAGGAATCTAAGGAGCCAGTTGGCCCTACAGTCTGACCCGAAGCATATTCAGAGCCGGTGGCTGGGACACTTTTGGATAACAGCGCCTCAGAATGGGGTGCTTGATCGTGAAGACGACATCACATCTGGTATCCTTTTCCTTTGTGGTGTCCTGTACATGACACAAGCTGCAAGCCTGTGACACCTACAAACCTTATGCCGAACCTCAAAACACCTCCCGGAACCTAAAGCTTCCCCGAAAGCCTTAAATCATGCATCCTGAGCACCACCTGCCCTCTCTCACCAAAACCCCATGCATTTTGGGTCATCGAAGCATTTAGGTGGCTGGCCGCCTTGGCTGGCAAAGCATTTTGTGAAATTGCTCATGCCACAGCTGCTAGCGCCAGGCTAGCGCCATGCTAGTGCCACAATGGGGTGTTGATGGATCCTTGCCGGGGGGCTGTCTCATAAAGCTGATTAATTCTGAGGTTCGTGTCTTCCCAATACAGGTCCAGTATGCTACGGGCACCTGATCCCCACATCTCTGCCCAGGAAGTGTGGGCCTGTCATCACGGCCAGAAGCGCCCAGGCCGAGTAGATGTAGAAAACCACAAAGAGCGGTTGCAGAACTGGCATCCTTGAGTGGGATGGTACTGCTCAAAGACTCAAAGGATTTTCCTACGAAAGGATTGCAATAATTACTACTTGGATTTCGAATCGGGAATCGGCTGGAGGGTGGTAGATTCTGGTGACTATTACTTCCAATGCAGGGCTTCAAGCAATGCTGGGTATTCCATGTGAATGACCGCTGCATTACCTCTAGTCAGACTTACAAATTTGAGTAGTGTCAGTGCCTGTTTGGTGCTGAAACCAACTCAGATCACATTCCTCTTACAAATACTTTCCTCCAAAACAGGATATAACCATACTCGATATAGGGGGTTCAGTATCCTTGCTGAAAACCTGGAATATCATGCAGCTCCAGGCTCCGAAAAACTTGACTCGTTTATTGTTTCCAAGACCGCGGGGTCCGTGCTCAGAAGGCTTCCGAAGATCGTAGGCTATTGTGGTTGCTGTGAGGGAACATAAAATTCACGTACCGTAGGAGAGGATGATAGGGTTGCCTCATGTTGGTAAGTTTATGCTTGCTTCATGTGTGGCCGTACACTAGCTGCATAGCCACCCTTCATGCTCCTAACTAAACTCTGGCACAGGGGTCTGGAGTCGCCTGAAGAATACTGTTCCTACCCTGTATAGAACCATGCTCGAGCTGTTGTTTTGGGCGTGCTCTGTGAGTGACCTTGACCTAATAATTCACTTACCGCCCGAAGTTCCATAACCAAGCATGCGGTCCGTCCTGTCGAAGCACCCAACACTCTATAAACTGAGGCGGGTCCAAGTTTCCCTGCTGAATGCCTAGCTTCCTCTTAAAAAACAGCCGAAGCTCAAACACTGAACCTGACATTACCAAGTCTGTGAGTGCCAAGTTGCTCCTCAAACAGAGGCACAAACTTCATCAAGCTCCAGCTGCTGACCTTGCGGTAGCGTGAGCTTTCAAGATCCAAGCCCGATGTCTTTGCAGCGTCATGGAATACCCTCAGCAAGGCTGTTACATTCAGCGGTTGGAACCTGATGGCGTGAGGGACCCTGAACCTCACAAATGGCCCTTTAAGCTATGATATAATTTCGAAGCAAAACCCTGAACCAATCGCCTGGAGAATTTTGACGACTGAACTTCGCCCAGTCTATGGCAGTCCACCACTTTGTCCCAATATACGCGTCACCATCGCCTACAAGCAACACCACTTTCGGGCACGGTCTAGGCAACTCAAGTGTACGCCTAAAAAATGCGGGGTCATGCTGGGAAACAAATGGAAGTTGTTTGTGAAGGAAGGAACGGCAACCCACAAGACTCTAAACATCTGGAGGTCCAGGAAAAATCTGTACTCTTAGTTCGTGACTCGTCACTATGAACATCCAAGACTCCGGCATCCAAAGCGAACGTGACCTCTATTCAAAAACGCGGAAGAACCCTCAACCCTTTGAACCTATGTTCTCCGCACAAAATAGAGGAATAAGCCTGCTGCCAAGCGGCAGTTCCAAAGAGGGTGAACATGCTTGTGCTCACGGAGCTGAACATGTCCTGCTCTCAGGATCAGGGGGTCAAGATGTTGTGATTTGAGATGTCCCGGTTTCAGGACGCAATGCTGGCTTCAGAAGCTTGCAGGTTGCAAAGATGCCTTCAGAAGCTATGGTCAAGAAGTGTCTCGTGCATAGCAGCTGCAACAAGCCGAACCCGTGAGTCCTTAATCTCCTGCATCTCTGGATCATCATCGTTGGCGATGACGGTGCCGTGGCCTATGAGCCGTGTGCAGAGGATGGCCACCGAATACCTGCAAGAACGAGGTTTAGGGCTTTCTCTGCAGAACTTGCTGCGCTCTGAAACTTCAGCCTCAACGTGTAACGTGTGAGCCAACTGCATAGATGGAGGACTCTGCAAGTTCAGGGCTTGAAGCTTTGGAGATGGGGGATGTAGCTGTGTGATTCTTGGAAATTTGCGCACATGTAGCAGCTTCTTGTTCAAAGCCAGCCATTCCACTCATGTTGCAGCTGCCAAACTTGATGTAAGATCTTGCCTGCGTTACGCAGTTTGGGGCGTGCGGCATGCCTCGTAGGATATCTACCAGAACATTGTGCATGGCTCCTGTCGTCAAGACCACAGTGATGTCAGGTCTTGTGGCCCTACGTCATCTTTGGTTGTCAATCCTGAAGTCAAAAACCGTATCTCGCAAGAAGGGGAGGGGATTACTTGCCCTCAATCCTTGTTTCTGAAACCCACATCCCACAGGAATTCGATCTTGCAATGATGACCCACATGCACATCCTAGCATATATCCACATGCACACCCTGACATATATCCGCATATGTCCCCCTGATATGACCCCATAGTAGTTTCCAGTACAGTCCTGACAACACCCATGAAGATATAGACATCAACTGAAGCCTCCTTGCCCAGCGACATGTTTGGGGGCTCAGAACTTCTAGCCCAAGATGCAAGGTGAGGATCATGAAGACCAAGACCCAGAACATGCCTCGCGCTAACGCCAGATCTTCAAGGGCGCTCTGTTTGCATTCGTTTTGTGGGATTCCCAAATTGGTGCTTATGAACAACATCAACAAGAGCCCTGCTGCATGCTTCATGTTGTTGGTCTATTGCAGTGCGGACTTTTGCAAGCAGATTCTCGCATATGTCAGTCACGCAATCATAGTCTAGGTGATCTCATCAGTAAGGGGACCTGCGGGCTGTGCAAAGCGGCGCTTTGATTGATGGAGCACGTACGTCCTTCCTTTGAAACTATCCATTTGGGAGCATTTCGTTCTTGCAGCCGGCTCTTGCCAGGCCCCAAACCACTGTATGACTGAAGAATCCTCCCCGACACTGGGCACGGCTTAGCCATTCCCTAACATGCGTGACAGTGCCAGAATATTTCTACCAGCCACTCGCATGTTCGCATATCCTTGCAGACGCCTTTTTTTCATGCCTTGAATCTCAAGCGAGCTCACGGGGCCCAAATCCCACTTTGAATATGAAGTCTTGATCCCATCAAATTGGATTCCTCGGGATGACAGCAGGCTGTGCAGGTGCTAATACCTCCCCATCGATCGTGCCCTTAAAGACGCCCTTCGGGGTATGGTAGCTGCGATGCCATTTTGATAGCCACAAGGTGTAGGTTTTTGAGCCTTACATGGGTAAATCGCGTGAGATTTCTAGGGAGCAGAGCAAGCCTGAATATGATTTGAGAGTAGTCCGTGCCCACTTTGCACATGTGTTTTCTTGCTAGGATTAACATGTAGTCTTCAGCTAACATGTGCTCCATTCATCATTTACGCTATCATTCAGTGGGCTTGAAGCCACCTCTCACCAGCAATAACTTAGACTTGGACGATGTCTCTCGTGGTGTTCCTGATCGGAAGAGCAATACAAATGGTATGAGCGCTTTGCACATTGGGGTTTCTTACCTGTCCACGAAAACATCACGATTTCATTGTTTCAACATGAGGAAAGTAGTATGTTAGAGCTTATAATGCGGTCCCACATTTGCGGAAACCATCATTTTCGGGCAGTGCTTTTTTTTCTTGGCCTTGGAGCGCTTCCATGATGGACTGGGCCAGTTCATAGAGCGGCCGCACAATCCTCGGTGTTGCAGGGCCTTTGCCAGAGGGGTGGGTCTCGCATTGCAATCCCACAAACTGTAAAGAACCTGGGGTATAGTTGGTATCATTTTGCCTTTTTGATTCAAGCCGTCCTTGTGATCAGGTCAGGTGTATGTTTGCGTGCTACGGGAACCGGGATGCCTATACCTGGATTGAATGCGATCAAATTAAACACGCTTAGGGCTCCAACATTCGCGTGGTTGCAGTGGCAGGTTGTAAAGCTTCAGGAATTGAGGCCTTTTTCTTTGTGGCCCGGTCTGTTTTTGGTTTTGCACACCAACTTGCAATGCCATGTGCGGTTCTGGAATAAACAAAACGCCTATAGCTCAGGGCTTGAATCCCCTCAACCTTGCCAGGACATTGGCGATTCGCTTACACCGCTCCCTGAGCCGCGGGGAACTCCTGGAAAGACTCTGACTTGAAACGACAAGGGCGAGGGCAAGCGGATCTCAGACTCAAGTCGGCATCTTGCTCATCAACGAACACTCCAGTGATCTGATGATTAATCTGCGATGGCAGTGGATTATGCAGAAAATGCTTTCCACAAAACCAGGCGTTTCGCAACATCCTTGTAACAGCCTTATCTCAGAAAAGTCTGTCCACCAGAACTCCGAAACTACTGAAGCCAAGGTCTTTAATCATTTTCAATCCTTCAAGGCCCAAGCCCTCCAACCCTGGATGCTCCCTAGTAATGCAATCGTTTCCTTTTTCTCTTCCCTTTCCGAAACCCTCATCCAAAAGGAGTCGCCGCAAACCTACATGCCCTAAAACCGTCAGGTTGCTTCACCAGGCGGAAAAGTCTGACAATGCGTAGCAGGCGAGCCATACCTCAAGGCTTTGTGGGAACCTTTAGTTGTACCAGTCGATGTTTTTAGATCGTAACGCGTAGGGGTTGCAAGCTTTGTGCTTTACGTGCTCTTGGCTAGTAGCGTATCTGGGAATGCATCCCTATAGTAGTCCCTATAACCTAGTCCTTCATTCCCGACTGTCTGCGAGTTGAATTTAGGGGCTGAGCTATCCGGGGCTTGAGGATTCGGTGCTGCGATTGAAGGTCTCAGGTCTTTCCCTTCAGGAGCCTGGGGACATAAGGGGCTACAGCATCCCTTTCAGCTTAGGTTGTTTTTGTGGCTACGGCACCAAAGCTCCAGGCATTCACAAACGCCTCATGAGAACCGTTGGTTAGTGCCGCAGCAACCCTTTGAGGAGGCCAAAGGGAATTTCAGACCACAGCTGTCCATGAGCTAGAACTCAAGGAGCTTCTAAAGCCATTCGAATCTTTAACACTGCTAAAGAAGAAGACCTGTAGCTGAAACCTCAGTCCCTAATCACTACTCCGTGCTGATGCTTTGTCTTTGAATTCTGATTCACATCCCAACGCCGGCAGGTAGTATAGCCTGTGCTTCTGGAATTCCCTACGCAGTTCCTACAGTTCCTAAGTGGTTCACACTCAAGCCCTGATGCCCCATCCCCAGCATCCCGGCCGACAAATGTATAGCTCCCGCTCCAATCGAGACATGCCGAAGTGCGGAAGACCATGAAGACCGAAGCCATTCCTGGCAAAACTGAGATTTAGGGATTTTGGATGGACGTCTGCTGTATTTACTGCCATGAATTGTCACGGCATGTTCATATGCTTCAAGCAGGTATTGAAACACATGAGTGATTCTACAGTTTTTCCCAAAACTCCCACAGGGTACTGCCAAAGAATCACACAAAGCGGCCGTGAGACGGCTGTGAATTCCAAGAGTAGCATGCAGCACACAAACAGCAGCACTCACAAAACATGGTTAAACAAGCGGGAAAATCCAGGCTGAGTACATACGTGGTTCAAGGAGCACCTTGTGTAGGCCACTTGGATGTATATTCGTCTACTTGGGTAAGGGAACTCTTCAGGGCCTTGATTGACAGGGTTCAGGGTCAATTTTGCTCCGAGAGACGGGACAAAAACTCTTGAGATGTGTTTTCCAACATGTCTATACACTGTCCTTGCTTCCGTTGGCTGGCATCATGCTGCAGCATCCAATGGAGAACGGGCATGATCCACCTCAGGTACTCTGCGGCATCAGGACTTTGTAGATCCTCTGTAAGGTTCTTGCTCCAAGCTACGGCGCTGCCTCTCTAGGTTTTGAGGGGTGCCTGCCTGGAGTGCATGTGGAAATTTGGATTGGATTAGGGGACTGCTGCATACTCATTCAGGAAATATGGGGCCTTTCAAAAGCAGCCGAGTTAAAGTCTGAGTTTGGGGTTTTCGGAGGACACTGTCCTGAACATTCTTGAGAGCATGATACCCAGCACGAGGACTGCTAGTGCACATCTGAAAGGGAAAAAAGATACTACTACCTTGATCGCTACCTCTGGATTCTGCTTCTAGATCTGAATCCGTGGAAGTCTCGGGAAATGTTGCCATTGCTGCTATTACTGCTGGTGTCTCTACAACTACACTCAAGCCCCTACAGCTTGCCAACAAAGCAGCCAAGATGCTGATCGGCAACACCGCTAGTCACGATCGACAGGTCGAACACATTCCAACCCCACTCATCCTCCAATGTGGTTTTGTAGGGTCCAGGGTGGTTTAAGTCATACGCCTATCAATCCCACTAGAATCCATGAAGCCACACAATACGGCCTAGTAGTGCCTATCAAGCCATGAAGGGCTTCTGCTCAAGGAAGTCTGTGCCTCCTGGCGGAAGAAGTGGCAGCCATGACCTAGGTACAGTGCCAAGCATCGCGAAACATCGCCGGATGTGCCCCAATATTCAGGATCCCAGAAGAAGCCAGTTCCCAACCTCTTGCGCATAAACCGGGGAGAGCTCTTGGGAGCCTTGTTTCCAGATGGCGTCAGAAGCCGTATACAGTTGCCTTGTCTTTTTGTGCGTTTTAGGGTGTCTGCCATCCGAAGCTAGGAAACGCGAAGCTGCTGGCAAACTTATTTGTTCTGAGTAGTGAACGAAGTAACCTCCAGGTGAACCTCGCTAATGGTTTGCGTTTCTCTTCTATTCATTGTCTACTATTGAACCAGCAAGTAAAATTCTCACAGCAGGCAGGCAGTCCCTGTGGGCTAGAACCAAGCAATCTGAAACTCTGAAACCTTGATCCAGAAGTACCACGGGGCGAAGGAGTCGAACGATGAGCTCGAAGAGGAAGTAGGCGAGCAGTGCGTGCCTTACAGTAGCACAAATCCCTTTTTAGGAACATCAAGCCACTGTGCCTGAGCTCTGTCGAGCAAATACTGCACGATGTCAGACTATGTTGTCACCCAATCATCTCCTTGTTTGGGTCCCTGTAAGTTGTTGGGAGTAATGCTGCCCTGAGAACTGGTCTTTCAAATCCAGCTTAGTTCCCACACCATGGTATACAATCCGTAGGATTCCCAAGTTTCTCTGGGGCATATACCTCTAAATAAAGATCCCCAACAAACAGGATCATTCTCCACGGTAGGGATACCAGTATCCACAGTCAACCTTAAGCTGAAATGCATTGAACTCTGATGCCTAAGCCTCTTGTCTAAAATCATTCGCATTCCCATTATTGCAAACCTTCATGCTGCTCCCTGATCATGAATGCCACACAACCCTGTCGTGGGAAGCCCCTAGTCCTATATGACCACGCATATCACGCGGAGAACTTCTACATCTGTCTTCCACACGACGGTACCCAACACGCCGCAATACCATCTGCAGTGCGCTAGGGCTCTTCTGAAAAGGATTCAGAATTTTGACTTAAAAGCCCTTATCCTGGCAATTGAGCGGCTCCACCCAGAACCAGATCCAGCTTTCTAGGTCAGTCTCCAAGCCAATGACCTTAGATTTCAAGCCTAGGTCCTTGGACTAGGATTCATGCATGAAGATTGAAGCTAATGGACGTGATGTCAAGGTTGAAACCGACAATAGGACTTTAGATTGAGCCAGCCTGGAGATTTGTTGTGGGGTATCTATATCACTATTGCGGTTACTTTTGCTTCTGCTACTGTTGCTATAAACCGTTACTAACTCTAAAGGGCAAATCTAGATGTAGAGGGCGACCTTGCAAACTACAGAAGCATCGTTCAGGAGCCAGCCACAGGTTGAATATGTCTGAATCTGTTCAGATGCTGGAGCTTTGCGTAGGGCGTTAAGGCTCTTCTCGTAACCCTGACACGATATCCAACAGTAATAATACGGATAATAGAAATACGCAGTAATAATAATTAGTACGAATAAGAATACTACAAGTAATACTCATAATACTAGTAATAGCACTAATAATGTTTCGGTCCGAACAAAAAACCTCTGAATAAGGGAGATACCCACACTGCAAGTCCAAGCAGGAAGCAGCCTGAACAGGACATGGAACAAACACCATGGCAAGCCGTAGCCCCGGTACTTGGAGCTTTGACCCTTCGGTGAGATCCTGCTACTAGTAATACAAATAGTGATAACTACAATATTAACTATAATAAAGATTGCAATCATAAGTAAAGTAAGAACTATAATGTTCACAATTATGGTTTTGATTTTACTTGACAAAGATCATGCCAAGGCGAAACATTAAGCCAAGCAACCACAGCATTGCACATAATGATGATGCCACTGGTGGCTTGGAACCTTGGCTGCTTGGCTGCTGGACTGAGGTGTTTGGCTTGGGGTTTCCATTGGTATTCTGTGAATATGATTTTCATGGTTTAAGAGTTGGCTGTGGAGCTGAATTGGGACCTTCAAACTGATGTATGCAGCCCCGGGGGATGCCCCTGGAAGCAATTCATGTGTACACTCAGAGGTTCCACTGGGAAAAAACCCATTACTATCCCGGTGCGGAACTTATTCCTTGCTGTGCCTGCTGTGACCCGTTTGCGTCTGATGCCCCTGCGGAGAAGCCGCACAGGCTTATTCAGGAGCTTATTCAGGCACGTTGAGCGGCTACATGCATGTTTCAGAATCAGTTTGTCTGAAGGCTGCGAGGTTTTGTTTCAGGAGATCGAATCCCGTCTTCTGTGTATCCAGGCCTGATATGCAACCCCAAGCCGAACTCTAAATTTGAGTGCCGCCACCAATTCGACTCGACCCACTCCAGGCTCGTGTCTGCCTCTTCGCGAGACTCCGCAAAACCGTGTCCTGCAGCTTTGCTTTGTCTTGCGGTGTAGGGATTAGAGTGTTAGTCATTAAGAGACTCTTTATCATTGGGTACCAGACGGAACTCGGGTCATTTGAGCCACGGCCTTGCGCGAATTTATTGAAGTGTGCGCTTGTTCATGCAGCAAGAAGGTTTCAATTTTCGCCTTAAGGGCTTTTTAGATCGCGGAAAGGTTATTATGGGACAGTTGAAAGATGGCTCAGTTCATATCTCCTTTTGAACTCCACTGGTCGGGCGAAGGATTTGCCGACTTAGGCCTGGTGACAAGTAGGGCGAGTTGCTCAAGTCAATGATGGATTCAAGGCCTCAGGGCTCAGTGGGACTTTGGCTGATAAGCTTGTCCTGAGACTGAGGCTCAGGAGTATATGTGCCGGTCGCTTCGCTTAGGATGAATACCGGAATACTGGTTGATTGAGCCGGTTTTGCAATCTTACATCTTTACACAATCTCACAGCAGGGTTCTCGTCTCTACGCCGCTCAATACACACCGGTGCCGAAAAAAGAAAAGCGAAGTGGTACTCGCATGGGCGGTGCAAGCGACAAATTCAATGGACCTAGACCTGCTTCAGTATCCGGGGGCGGAATATTGCCAGTCATCGAGGCGCCTATGTCAGGGCCACCCAGCGACACGGAGTACAGAGTGAATGCTTCTGAGCATCTCGTTACGTGTGAGAAGCATGAACCTCACAGTGTGTTTATGTTGACCAGAATCGCAGTCTCCTTCCTTCAAAACGTAGGCTTAAATCCCAAAACATCGAGAGCCTGACAAAATGGGAGCTTAGTCTTTGGTCCTGGAGCCTGAAGATGAAAACAAAGTAAGGTTCATTCCAAGAGTTCTAGGCACTCTGGTCGCTCCTGCGTGCTCAAAGGCTCTAAGGCGCATTCCCTTCTCCTCAGCATCAAATGGCATCACTGGTTTTGGTGTTTCAGGTTCGAAACATCCCAATCGCGAGCACAACCGATCAAGAACTAGCTGTGCTTCTCCAAGGGGTTACGAGCTAGGCGAGCCTTTCTGCATCAGGAAAAGAGCGTTTGTCTTGGCAACAATATTTCAACACTTCCGATAATGAGGACGTATTGGCTCTCAGAAGCTTTCTATTTAAACTTGATTCTGTAAAGGGCCGAAGCATGCAACTTCAACCTCCAACCTGCGACCTTTACAAACCTTCAGCTGTCCGAAAGTGAGGCACCAGACAGTTTCTTCCTGTTCACGCCTTGGAAAACGAAGTTCTCGTAACCTTTTCCAGAACACCGGTAACGGTCCTTCTCTTCTATTCCTGCATTTTCCTTGAGTTTTCAGAAGTTTGCACTTTGGAGTATAGCTTCACCGCCATCAGGCAAAAAAAGTGTCAACTTCCGGAGGTATCTTTCTGCCCGTGGTGCTGGACATGCTTGACCATGAGCCTGTGGTCCAGCGCATCTCCAAGCCTAGGCAGGCCTCTTCATTTGGTAGTTTCCCGAAACAGGGGACCCCAATATAGACCCCCAAATACTATTGTCCTTGTTATAAGGACCCCCCAGAAGGGTACCCCTATTTCTAGGAAACCTTCATTCGCAACTGGTTGAAACACGGCGAGAAGCTCCCTTAAGCTGATTGCCGACCCTGAGCAAAGAAGCCTGAATGCTAAACAATCTTCAAACCGCAAACCTCTGGTAAGAAGCGAAAAACCCAGACCCTTGGCCCTTAACCCCACGCCTGCCCACACCCCCCAACCCCTTTGAAGCCCGGCGGCGCTGTTTGGGATTGCCGGCGCTGAGGAACAGCCAGGACGCGGTAAAACATCATCATCCACATCCTGCGAAAAGCAGCTTGTACGGGGTGATGGGGTTTAGTGCAGTGTGTGGGGCTTCCCAGTATCTAGTCACACTCCAATAGCATCCATTTCAGGCGTGCCTGGGCATAGTCTGCTTCTGGAAACACGCGTCATTGGCAGTGTAGCAAAGGAATTAAGAATCAATGGCTATGCAGTGGTTGATTGGCAGAGCCTCTTGGCCATTCCATTCTTGAAGGAGGGCTTAGTGAGCATCGATTATCCTAAACCCTAAGCCTTGAACGTTTTCTACATTCCATTACTCGCACACCGAAACGAAAGCCATTGAGGCAGTCCGATCGGACGATGCTGTAGACGCCTCAGATTGCACCAAAAATCTCTTTGCTTGAGCTTGGGATTTGATGTTTGGGGTATGGGATCGTACCGCATGGGGGGCATTTAGGGGTGACAGCATAGTGATGGGATCATGGAGGTCTCCTGAAGGCTTCTCCGGAGCCTGTGTCCCAAAATTCCGGGAAGACGATGAGGGTATGTTTCTGAGTCCGCCCTCGAGGAACCAATATTTGCACACCACTTGCTTTTCAGGCCTTTGCACAGCCTTGCCGGTTGTTTGTAGTGAGTGAAGGAATGGCACAGAAAATGGAAATTACTACATCATGGGGATGGTATAAGTATAAAACAGGGACTCTTTCCTCCAAATCTGTCGTGCAAAGATGCTTCATGAATCCTCTAGTATTGCAGCTATGGCTAAAGTTTCCTGATTGTGATAACTATGTTCAATGCCATGTTTTCTATGTTGTCTTTGCCATAATATCGATGGTATTGCTGTTAGATGCATCTTAGTCCAGAGTGTGCGAGTCATGAAAGGATGAGCAGCTAAGAAATTGGGGCATGAGGTCCGGGCTTGGGGTTAGATACGGGTGGATCCAAATACTCTACAGCGGCATGGGAGCCCATAAGGTTTCGCTTTTGAATGAATCCTTCGTTTGGCAGTCTTGTTGCTTTTTTTGGCAGCCCCTTCAGATCCGCCCTTGGATTGCGAATCAGAGCCCCAGCTCTGGCGTAACACGCCTTTGTGAGGGCCAACTACAGGAGGGAGTTCATGTAATGGGTCTATAAGGCTTATGTAAGGTCCCTTGCAGATGGGGCCCGTAATTCTGAGACTTCACAGACTTAGACCGGCAAAGTCTTGGCGCCTCTCGCGCTGTCGAGGAGGCGTCCAGAGTTCGGCCGCGCACTGCCCAGATTGAACCAGCCTGGTAAGAGTTAGAGTTGTTTATGGTAGGGAGAATTCAGTGGAACAGGCTCCAGGAGCTTGGGTCTCAGAGGGGTCATAGCGCTACAGCTTGGAATCTCTCATCCAGTTGCAAAGGCTGGAACGAGATGTGCAGCACAATCTCCCACTCAAAGCCCGCTTGCTTGCAAAAGCCTAGCACCAACTCTGATCTCTCAGGTGGGAGAAAACAGCTTTGGGGTTTACGGCCGTTCGGGGTTAGGTTAGAGTGTTCTAGAAGCCTCTATCTAGTTTGCTCCCTGCCAAAGTAGAGAAGGTAACGCTAGCGGAACCGGAATAAAACCAGATAGGAGCCACGAACCCGAATGCAGACATGTGTCACGTACATGCAATGATAATAACGCCCCACG